ATGTATAATCTTGTCTTGATTTTTCTCTTTAGTCTAGGTTGGCTTTTCTAATAATAATAAAATTAAATTTTCATGTCTAAATACAGTTGGTCAATTTGTAGAGGAGACTTAGCTTCATAAATCTGTTTTCCTGGCCATCACCTCAAAATCCCAAATGTCTGTCTGCCTCTTGCAAGCGAACTCGCAGGAGCAAACAGAAAGGTGGAGATTGGTCTTTTCCTGGATTTGATGTGGTTTTTCCTTTTAGGGCAAGCCATTTCCTATAAAGGGGTCTTTTATTGCTTTTCTAATATTTATTTTATGAGTCTCTATCTCTATTTATATTCAAATAAACTTTTGTGGGGGAAATTTTTTCTAAAGACCAAGAAAGTCTGTAGGCATAATTTCACAAGGCACACTTTTATTTTCCATAGCAGCAAATCTATCGCTTGGTTATTCCAAATGGTTTCACCCTTTGCCAAAGTGGATTAAAGTACCAGATTGAGATCAAAGGTTATATTCTTTTCTTTCTATACTGGACATGAGCCCATATGGGTCAAAATGTAATAAAATGAGAATGTAGAATGTAGACGTCCTCATTCCTAATCAAGTGTTGACTGTGGATGGCAGAAGTTTTGAGAACTTATGAAATTGATTTGCAAATTAATTTAAAAAGAAGTAGATGAATAGCTTTGGTGGACACCCCTCTGCCAATTTGGCACTGTCTGTTGAGTTATATTAACTCTTTGGCAAGTCATGAATATGATAATGAAAGGAAGATACAGGCGAGGGAATAGCACATAGGCACTGAAAGTAAAAGAGTGTGACAGATATGGATTTGTTGCTGAATTCAAAACCATGGATGTTGTAACAGTTAAACCATTTAGCACAAAAATTCAAAAAGCCAATATTTATTAAATACATTTATATAAAATAATATCAATTATGATGATCTCTTGCTTTCATATCAAATACATATGCAGGGTTAAGCAAGCCGGTAACTTCATGATACCTTTTATGCTTTTCCACAATCTCATTAGTTAGAAATATAGAAGTCAAATTTCTGTTTTATGCAGTAAAGTCTAGAAGTTCTCACACCTGTTTTTTTTTTAATTATTATTAAATCTTTATTACTAAAAGTATTACATATGTCCCCTTTCTTTTCTCCCATTGACCCCTTCTAGCTTATCCTCACCCCCATCCCCAGGCCTTCACCCCCCTGTTGTCTGTGTCCATGGCTTATGCATATATGCATACAATTTCTTTGGTTGAACACTTCCCACCCACTCTTCCCCACCTTCCCTCTGAGATTCCACAGTCTGTTTTATGCTTCCATGTCTCTGCATCTATTTTATTCAACAGTTACACCTGTTCTTGTAATAAGAAAAATCTGGACCAATGGAAAAGCAGTGAGTTTTCTTCCACTCACCAGACAACTAACATTGCAGGGAAAACTGCCAATACAAGTGTCACAAGACAGATCCATTCTAGAGAGTTAATCTGAGGCCTGGTTGGTTGGAGTAACGTGTGCTGGAATGGTAAACTAGTAAGATAACTTAAATGCTAATTTTGATGAACAGAGGAAGGCTGAGTGTAAAGCAGAATGAGACTGAGAAACTCCCGAGGCCGCAGTATGGAGGGCTCCCACACTCAGTGGTATCTCCAGTAGTACCACTAAGATTCTCCTGTGGAAGTCGGAGAAATGTACCTTCGTGGCTCCAGAAGGAGGAGGAGACAATTAATCCTTGAGAAATAAGCCCAGAATATTCTCCATAGCAAAGAGCTACTGTCCAAAAGAAAAGACTTTGCCAAAGCTTTACCTCAACTAAACCAGCCCAGCCTCTTCTGCAGGTGTTGTCTTATCCAAAGTTCGGAGAAAGAATATCAACAGGAGTTAGGGCTTCAAAAAATAGATTGGGCACGCTGAAGTCAGGGGAGGGAGTAGAGAACTGAGGAAAAGGAGCAGGGGGGGAGGGTGGGGGGGGAGGGAGGGAGTACACTGGAGGAGCACTCATGAAAGGTACAGCCCAGAGTTCCTGACTGGCATTTATACATATTTCCCTTCCTCCATCCTCTACTACTATACCAATAGGGTTTTAGTATAAGAACAGCGGGTTAGAGTTGAAAGAAGCAGTCTCTTTCTCAAATGGAATACTTAGGGAAGTCCAAAGTCAAGAATGGTGGCAAAAACAAGGACACTAGATGATTTAATCTATGGTACTTGAAGCTACAGAAAACAGGAAACAGCCCCACTCTTACCATAATTAACATAAATCCTGACTGTGAAGGCCTATTTACCTCAGTGTTTATTACCCAAAATAGATATGTCTGTCTTTCAAAAAATTATTAGGAAAGAAAAAAAAAAGAATAAAAAAAGGAAAAAAAATTATTATTCATGCCAAAAAGCAAGAGAGAACACAATCTGAAAAGACAAATGAAATGCCAACACCAGATTCTGATATTACAAAGATGTTTGAGTGATCAGGTAGATCATTAACAATAATTGTTTCTCTGTCTAAAATAAATAAAAACCTACTTTAAAAAAAATACAAACAAACAACCAAAACAACACCCAGAAATCTCAAAAGTTCAGATGCAATGTTGGTATGAATCAGACCTCAATTTTTAAAGACAGAAAGGTCAAAGGTCTTTAGTTCTTATTCTCCAAGGGCCCTTAGCAACAGCACATATGAGAAATCAGAGCTCACTGAATGTGACTGCTCTTATCCATAGAGCTATTTGACTCAACCACAACAAAAGCATTTCATAAAGAAAAGTGACATTAGCCCTGATCAGTGTAAGTGTGGCTCAGTTGATTGGGCATCGTCTTGTGCACCCAAAATTGTTGATTCAATTTCTGGTCAAGTCACATGCCTGAATTATAGGCGATTCCCATAGGGGGTGTGCAGGAGGCAGCCAATGTTTCACTCTCACATCGATGTTTTTCTCTTCTCCCTTTCTCTCTAATAATCAATAGACTATTCTGTAAAACAGAAAAGTGACATTAAATTCAAATTTCTAACTCTGCAGGGCCTAGGCTTGTTGAGGAGAAATACCCCACTTTGATTTCTCTTGCATGCTATGGGAAATCCAACTGATGATTGCAATGTGCTTATTTCCATGAAGAAAAACTCAGGTCCACTCTCTACTCTCACCCTTTCAGGATCTAAGTAACCATGACAGGATTCATTCATCCTCAACGAGTTTAAGATGATGTATGGTTAGGGTTGAAGAGAAAACCTAGATGTTGGTCTAGGAGAGGTTAGGATTACACAAGGAAGAAGTAAGACCTATTTAAAAGAGAAGTTTTTGAGAGTTTAGAATTACACAAGGAAGAAGTAAGACCTATTTAAAGGAGAGATTTTTTTTGGCGAAATGTAACAAATTTTATAGTCATAAGAGGTAATATTTTAGTTTATACTTCTGGATAAATTTCAGCAAACTTCTTCTGAAAAACAATACTCTAGAGAGGTTACAGATCAATCAATTTTTATTGAATTTCAGGAATTAGGGTTATGTTACTAGATCTAACCTGAGTTCAGGGGGTGCTGTTGAAAACACAGTTTTAATAGTGAACAAAGTGCTGAAACCAGTTTGGCTCAGTGACTGACATGTACCTTGGGAGGCAGCTGATGGATGTTTATCCCTAGTTGATGTTTCTAACTCTCGCTTCCTCTCGGTAAAAACAATAAAATAGATTAAAAAAATAGTGAACAAAATTAATTACAGTGTTGAGCTAATAAAGAAAATACTTAGGTATTTTTGCATGCCCTGGACACACTGAAAATTTTATTAAGAGCTATATTCACATAAAATAAATTGATGGCTCAAATGTAACTTTTTATTTTTTATGTTGAACGTTTTTACTATATGCATGATTTTCTAATATTTAAATTTAAGTAGTAAACATACTACATTGTCAACAAGAAAAATTAGCCTGTTGAGTGCTATATTTCACTTCTACATTCTAAAGGACTGGTATGGTCATAGTATCCAGTGGTCAGTAGGCATTTAAAAAGCACATTTTGTGAATTCGTAGAAAAGCAGAAATATAGTATCATATATACTAGTATTCCTTCTTGGAATTAGGCATGATTGTCATAGAAAAATTGATGAGATACGCATATAAATTGATAACTGGTGAATTCTTCATTTCCAATTAGTTATATTTATTCTGAGCAAAGGAATATGGTGAGGGGAAATAATATTTTAAAGCAAATCTTATATTTTTCCCCCCAGGAGAACAGATTCCCATAATTTTGCCTCTGAAATATATATAGTACAATCTTATATCAAATGAGAAAAACTTTGAACACCGTTGAAATGCAGACAAAAGATAAATGTCCACATTCAAAGTATTACTGACATATATCATTTATGGGTTTAATATGTTTTGAGTCTTAAGAAGATTATATATACAAATTTAAAATGACTTGTATACTTTAAAGTTCTCAGATCTTTTACCAGTTGTTTCACACTCTCTCTCTCTCTCTCTCTCTCTCTCTCTCTCTCTCTCTCTCTCTCTCTCTCTCTTTCTCTCTCTCTCTCGTAGTATATTGTTTGCTTTAATATAGTAAGTTTGGAACAGTTTTCTTGACCACATGTGTAAAACTGGAGGATCAACTTTCAAAACACATTCTAGAAGTTATTTGAAAACATAATAACTTTGTATAGAGAGATTGATGGTTTCCATTATTTACACATTTTGAGAGCCAGATACATTCTTTTTTCCTATTATTATTTGTGTAAGATAGCTCAATCTCCCAGGTCTTTAAAGTTAAAAAACTATGAACAAATAAATAACTGTCTTCCTTCTATAGATTTAAAAGCTTGGGGTAAATATAGTAATTTGTAAAAAATTGGAGACCCTAAGTTCAAAGTACCTTATATTAGCATTTGAACTTCCTGCTGAGTAATAATGGCAATGTAATAGAAGGATGAACTCTCATATCTATGCATACCACATTTTAAACCTAATATTCTCCCCAGGATCTCTATGGCTTATTTGCTAGTCCTTACAAGGAAATACAGAATGCTTCATGGATTTACATGCCATGTTTGTGAAGGGGTCATGCTAATCTTTGTTATTATTCCAAGTTTAGTAGATGTGATACCAAAATAAGCACTTGATATATTGTTTTGAGTTATTGTAAATATAGTAAACTTTAATTATTACAAATGTCTGTTTCATGAGCAGCTAAAATATTAAAGTCAAGGTAGTGGATTACATAACTGGTACAAAAATATAAATTATTTATTATTCCTTGATTCCAAAACATTCAAATAACAAGAGATAACCATAAGAATTTTTATAAAATGCAGAGGGGATATTTTGTAGAAAGAAAATAGTGACATGTTCTTCATACAAGATTATTTTTTGAAAATATTCATTCTCTACCTCTTACAAGGGCAAAGTCACACTTCATATTTTTTTGATTCTATGTCTGAACACATGACTCGTTTTGACTAAAGGGATATTGGCTGATGTAACACAAGCAAGAGATGCTCTCTTACATTTCTGCTACAATCGTGAGAAAGTCATACCCAGGCTGACTACTAGTCCCAGTAGGAAAATGGAAACTTTTGGGGCAGAAATAATTACTCCTATATTTGCTCAGCTTTGATCTACTCTAAATAAATGACAATGGTTTAACACAACAACTTCTAATTTTTTTTTTGCCACCTTTTAAAGGCAATATGTCACTAATTTCTTGAATTTAAGACACATTGAAATACCTTTTTTTTTTTTTTTTTTTTTTTTTTTTTTTTTTTTTTTACAGTGTCTTAACACATTAGATTTCCACAGCCTAGAGTTTTCATGCCCTTTCCAAGTTTACCTCTCATGGTCCTCTTAAATGTCCTCTATCAAAATTTACTTGTCAAAATTTACTTATATTTGTTTCCTAGAATACAACCTTTTTATTGTTTTGCAACACAGAGTATACTATTTTATAACTATCTGTGTATTCTTCATACATTTGCTATTGGAATATACCTGTGAAGCATGACTTGTGGCATACTTATCTAGATATTTCTTACTATGCATGTTTCATGTATATTTTTGTAATGAAGAAATATGTTTATTACATAATGTGTTTGGGAATGCTAATAAAAATAAAAATGTTCCTTTATTAGAGGTATTGAGTAAAGGAATAAATCAGTTTTTATTGGAACAAGCATACTTATGACTTACACACATTACAAACCAGTCCTAGAATCATTGGCTTGCAGAGTGGAGGGTTCCTTAGTTGGTTTTTGGATTTCATCAATATTAGTATTTTTCTTTTAATATGAAGAAAACCTCTGTTCTAATCCTACTATTAAGGAGATGTCTTCTTCAGTGTCTTTAAAATTAATAGAAGAGCTTGATGTACTGGTGCTCTTCCCCTAGTGAACAAAACTGAATAATTTAGAGCTAGAATATTAAAATACCTTAAACTATTTTATCTGCCATGACCCTGACTCCACAAGGAATCTTGATGTATTCTAAATATATTTAAATGAACAATGGCATTTAGAATCCAAGATCTGGGCTCCAGATGTATTTATTATTACTGGGATGCCAGTTGCCCAGACTTCTTACTGCATAGAGCTAGAGAATATATGTAAGCTAATCCCTGCAAATAAACACATCGATGTTTCTGCATCTAATATTTATGCATATATGCAATGTATTTTATGAATGACCTAATATACGTACTTCATTCCAATACCACAAATTGCCTTTTGTATTTATAAATTCTCCAACAGTAAGAAACCTGGCTCTTATTAATTACAATATATAGTATACATCCAAAGAAGTTTCAGAATTGTTACTCATATCTCTGTGTGAAATACATTTTTTCCATACATATGTTTGTTTGTTTTGTCCTTGACAATATCCAGTCAAGGGACTATTTTCTGAAGTTATTTAAAATAGTTCTTTTCTTTGCACTCATCAGCATGCTAATAGAGTCAGGTTTATTTAGTAGTGTTTGTATACCACTTTGAGTTTTCCCACATCCTGGTTGATTTTAATTGTTGATTTGTCTTTGAAATATCTGAAATATTACTATAATTCTAGCAGTTTGAATATACAAAAGATAATGAGGAAATGTCACTTTCTTCTCATCTCTGCTATGTTATTAGCAATACTTCTTTCCAATTCTTTTCTACACAAGCCTGGCAAAAAACAACAAAAAAAACAACAACAACACCAAACGCTTTTGTTTCTGGTTTATCTTTTCTTCAAAACTAAAAAAATAAAGTCATGCTCATAAAAAGATGCAGTGTTAGTATAAAACATCCATCAAATGAAGTAAGGACTAACTACTTGACCAACAAAATAAATATAATAATACTTGGTTATAACCCTGAGAATAAAAATAATAATGAATCCATAAATATGTAAATAAATACACACCTTAACATACTTTAATCACAAAGGAAAGACAACAACATTACAGTGGAGAAACCAGGAAGGTCAACATTATCAGTACCAACACAGCAGCAGAGTATGGTCCTGTGATGTGATTGCTTTAAGAACTCAACATCAGCTTTGTGATATTATTGACAAAAATACATATTTTCAGTATAGTCATGAAGATGCCTCAGACTCAGAGCCAACTTACATTGGACAAGGTAAATTATTAATAGTCTTTGAAAGTGTCAAAGTTATGAAAGACAAGGATAGTCTGAAGAACTGTTAGAGACTAAAAGAGACAAAGGAAAAAGAATAACTAAATGTAATGTGTGATCCTGGATTTGACCTTGGAACAAAAAGAGCACATTATTGGAAAAATTGATAAAATTTGAATAAGGTCTTGTGTGTAGTTCATAGTAATATGCCAATGTTAATTTCTTGGTTACAATAATTTCATTACAGTTCTGTGAAATGGATATATTAGAAAAATCTGTGAGAGGGATATATAAAAACTCTTTGTACAATTGTTCAACTATTTAAGTCAAAAGATAGTTTGGGAAATTTTAAAATATATCAATTATCTAGGATTCAAATAGTTTTATTAAAAATGATCAAAACTATGAGTAACTTTAAATATCTGTCATGCCAAAATTCGAAGTGAAATCCAGCTCTACCAATTCCAAGTTCAATAACCTTTACTTTTAATACTCGGTGTTCTTCCAAATCTTGTAGGGGTATTTTTACTCAAAGGAAAATTGATATGGTAATATTGTTAGGCATTATAAAATATAAAACTCATTTTTTTAAAATGCCTCATATGCCTTATTTTTGATTCTGTTAAAACAAGCCATAAACACATCCACCTAATTTTGTGGTGTTCAATTTGTTACTCTTCTATAAAACAGATGAGAAAACAAAGATTTATTTTTAAGAAGGCAGTAGGCTGTCTTTTGTTTATAGATCTTAGAATTGAAGAATAGAGAAAAAGCATTTAGAATATTTTAAAATTATTTTCAATCCTAAGCTTGTTCTTACACTTGGTTGCTTCAAATTATTATTGCAGTTTCATAATAACCTTTGTAATTCTTTGGGGACATTAAAAAATTATTCTTAAAGAGACAATATACCTTTTAAAAACTCTAATCAATAGAGAGCAAGTAGCAATTATTAGTATATACAATATTTCCCCCTGATCTCCAAAGTTAGTATTATCATTCTTTAAATCAGAGTTAAAGTCATACTCTGGGTGCTACATTTTTAAATATCACTATCAGGAATAACTGGATATTCTCATTTATTTTGCTCTTTGATTTGGCTACATTTTTCAGAGCTACCTTCTTATCTGACTGTTAAATTGTTATTGAAATGCCACCAGCACTTGTTAAGATGTAGAAAATTAAGCTCACACATTTACATGCTGAATTTTATAGATGGTTTTATAGTGATATTGCTACTGGTATTGAATTCTTGAACTTTTATAGCTGTACATAAAAATAATAATATATAACTGTGTAACATAGAAATTAATAAATGGTAAATATGAAATATTGTTATATGGGGATTTATCAGTAAAATACAATTTTTATTATATTAAAATTCTCAGTCTGGAAATATTAGTTTACATTATTTTCTTAAATCTTGCACTATAGTATCTGTAATGTCATCATTTAAGTAATTGATTTTGCATGAGCTTTATTCACATTTTTATTAGCTAATTGAGAAGATTACAATTGTCATTTTAATCTAAAACTTAGTAAAGTTACTTCTAAGAGAGATCTGGACAGAAGCACACAGAGAAAAGTCCATTAAAATGGCACAATACTTTAAAGATCCCACAGAGCGGAACTCAACAGGAGCTGCTGGTAATGCAAACCCTGAGGACATCCTTATTAGTCTGCCCACCAAGTGGACTGTGAGTGTGTTGTCAACTCTGTGGGTTAGCAATAGCCAATAATTCAAAGCTAGTAGAAAGTCACTCCAGACATTTAAAATGCAATCACCTGCCCTTTGCTGGCATTTAAAATAGAATGAGCCAGTGTGAAGTTGGGGAGATTGACTTGAGGCTCTCTGAAGTGATACATGAAGTCATGTGGTTTTTACTACCAAGGTTAGTTAAATATGAACCTTTAGTCTATTAAATGTTTTCACTTTTTGGGGTGGTAAGGATGAGGATTATAATATATAATCAAATATTTATTGAGTGTTTATAGTACTTGGTTTCCAGATGTAAGAAAGTAGAAAAGGATTTCTTGCCTAAACTAAAATATTCTCTAATAGAATAATTACCAGCCCTGGTCGGTTTGGCTCAGTACATAGAGCATTGGCCTGTGGACTGAAGGGTCCCAGGTTTGATTCCAGTCAAGGGCACGTACCTTAGTTGCAGGCTCCATCCTGGCCCTGGTCTGGGCCCCTTAGGGAGGCAAACAACTGATGTGTCTCTCTAACATGATTGTTTCTCTCCCTTTTCCTTCCACTCTTGCTAAAAATCAATGGAAATAATATCCTCAGATGAGGATTAATAAATAAACAAAAAGAATAATTACTAAATGGCTGGTGTAGTTGATGATGGTAGTTTGATGAAGATGAAGATGATAAAATACAGGGTGTGGCAAAAGTACACAGTTTATTCTCACAAAATTCGTGCATGGGTGGGAAAGGGGTTCCCTCAACCTGGCCTGCACCCTCTCCAATCTGAGACCCCTCGGGGAATGTCCGACTGCCTCT